TTAACAATGTCCCTTTGAAAAACTGCCAACTCTCCTCAGTTGTTTTTCCTCTGAGTCTCGATTCACATGGGACCTTACCTATCAGATCTCTGAGCTTACCAAAATCCACCTTCCTGAAATCCATTGTCTCTATTTTGCTGTTCTCCCTTCTACCATTCCTTGGAACTGTGAACTCTATGATTTCATGATCACTTTCACCCAAGCTGCCTTCCACTTTCAAATTCTCAACCAGTTCCTCCCTATCTGTTAGGATTAAATCTAGAATACCTTCCCCCCTGGTGGCTTTTTCAACCTTCTGAAATGAAAAGTTGTCTCCAATGCAGTCCAAAAACTTATTGGATAGTCTGTGCCCCGCAGTGTTATTTTCCCAACATATATCTGGATAGTTGAAGTCCCCCATCACCACCAAATCTTGGGCTTTGGATGATTTTGTTAATTGTTTAAAAAAAGCCTCACCCACTTCTACCACCTGGGTAGGTGGCCTGTGGTAGACTCCTAGCATGACATCACCTTTGTTTTTAATCTCTTTTAGCCTAACCCAGAGACTCTCAACACTTCCATCTCCTATGTCCATCTCCATCTCACTCCAAGTGTGTTCATTTGTAATGTATAAGGCAACACCTCCTCCCTTTCCCCCCTGTCTATCCTTCCTGAGCAAGCTGTACCCTTCTATACAAACATTCCAATCGTGTGTATTATCCCACCAAGTTTCTGTGGTGCCAACAATGTCATAATTGTACTTATTTATTAGCACTTCCAGTTCTTCCTGCTTATTTCCCATACTTCTCTCATTTGTATATAGATAGAAGGATATGGGGATAGATAGATAGCCTTGAAGAAAAGATGTCTCCCGAGAACCACACTACCGTGACTGGATTCATTCTTCTGGGACTTTCTGAAGTTCCCATCTTTCAGCCTCTGGTCTTTGCCATGTTGTTGTGTCTCTACATCGTCACCGTGATGGCGAACACTCTGATTGTGGTGATAATCAATGCGGACCACACCCTTCACACCCCAATGTATTTCTTCCTCACCCAACTGTCCTGCCTGGAGGTGTGCTACACCTCCATCACCATCCCAAAGATGCTGGAGAGCCTGGCCAACCAAGCGGACATTTCCTTCATGGGCTGCGCCATGCAAATGTTCTTCTTCCTTTTCTTCGGGGTGGCGGAGTGCTTCTTCCTGGCCTCCATGGCGTTTGACCGCTACGTGGCGATATGCGACCCCCTGAGGTACACAGTTGTTGTGAGCCGGAGGCTTTGTGGACAGTTGGCCCTAGGTTCGTGGGCGTGTGGGGCTGCCGTGGGGGTCGGACACACCGTTTTTATATTCAGCCTGCCTTTCTGCGGGAGCCTCATTGACCACTTCTTCTGTGAGATCCAGCCGTTGATGGAGCTGCTCTGTGGGGGCCCCTCCCTGAATGCGGCGCACATCATCGCTGTGGCCGTGTTGGCCATCGTGGTCCCATTCCTCCTCATCATCTTCTCATACAGCTGCATCACTGCCACCATCCTTAGGATGTCCTCCTCTGCCGGCAGGCATAAAGCCTTCTCCACCTGCTCCTCCCACCTGGCAGTGGTGACCCTCTTCTATGGCACGGTCGGCTTCATGTACTTGCGACCCAAGTCCAGCTACTTCCCACCAGTCGACAAGCTGGTTTCCCTCCTGTACGCCGTGGTGACGCCATTGTTGAACCCAATAATCTATAGCCTAAGGAACAAGGAGGTGAAAGGAGCCCTGAGGAAACTATGGAATAAAATGTTCTCACTGTGAGTGTCTAGAGAAGAGGATGGTCCATGGGCAGGACCTGCTGGGCAGGGAGTTCTGGGTCAAGCAATAGGTTTTACACTCCGTTAACGTCGCTGTTAGGACTTATATGGACAGAGCAATGAACCCTGACTCACATCAGAGGGAATATGAGGGAGAACGTGGCTGTAGTGTTTATTCCTGGCTCTGTCATTGGATTTCTTTCGCCCCATTGCTGGGGTGAACAGGATAGATCCCAAGTTATGCAAATCGACTCAGCGCTAGAGTCAACGGAGCAGATCTTGGGCTATGCAAATTGACTTTGTCGCCATTAGAGTCAACGGGATGGTTCCCTAGCTATGCAAATCTACTCCGTCTGCACTAGAGTCAATGGGATGGATCCTGAGCTATGCAAATAGACTTTGTCTGCACTAGAGTCAATGGGATGGATCCCAAGGTATGCAAATCGACTCTGTCTGCACTCGAGTCAATGGGATGGATCCTGAGCTATGCAAATCGACTCTGTCTGCACTAGAGTCAATGGGGAGATTCCCTAGCTATGCAAATTGACTTTGTCCTCACTAGAGACAATGGGAGCAGATCCCTAGCTACATAAATCGACTCTGTCCACACTAGAGTCAAGATAGCGGATTCCTAGCTATATTAATCAACTCTGTCCACACTAGAGTCAATGGGGCAGATTCCGAGCTATGCAAATCGACTCTGTCTGCACTAGAATCAATGGGATGGATCCCGAGCTATGCAAATCATCTCTGTCCCCATTAGAGTCAATGGGGCGGATCCCTAGCTATGTAAATTGACTCTGTCCACACTAGAGTCAAGATGTCAGATCCCTAGCCATATAAATTGACTCTGTCCGCACGAGAGTCAACAGGACGGATCCCTAGCTATAACTACATTGTAATGCATGGAACAGATCCTCTGCCCTGTAGTTTGGCTGTAGCAGCATTTGGAGTTGATGGGTCAGTCTGTTCCCAATTCTCACCATCTGAGATCATTGAAGTTAACTATGCTCTGTGGATGGACATTAGCTGAGCATTGGGCCCATATTACAAGTGACGTACGAATAAGGCAAGAGATTTTTAAAGTTCCGTGTTCAATAGGCATTCCCAGTTCCCACCTATGCTATCAGTACCCGGGATTTCAGTTCCCACAAGTAGCTTTGAAAGTATAATTACACAGTAGAGTGTATGTAAGCTGGGCAGAATTCATTTTTAAAATAAATTCAAGGATTAATGTTAACAAGTGTGTTGTGAACAAGACACAAGAAGTCATTCTTCCACTCTACTCTGTGCTGGTTAGGCCTCAATTGGAGTATTGTGTCCAGTTCTGGGCACCGCATTTCAAGAAAGATGTGGAAAAATTGGAGAGGGTCCAGAGAAGAGCAACGAGAATGATGAAAGGTCTAGAGAACATGACCTATGGGGGAAAGCTGAAGGAACTGGGTTTGTTTAGTTTGGAAAAGAGAAGATTGAGGGGGGACATGATAGCCGTTTTCAGGTATCTAAAAGGGTGTCAAGCAGGAGGGAGAAAACTCGTTCATCTTGGCCTCTGAGGATAGAACAAGAAGCAATGGGCTTAAACTGCAGCAAGGGAGGTTTAGGTTGGACATTAGGAAAAACTTCCTAACTGTCAGGGTGGTTAAACACTGGAATAAATTGCCTAGGGAGGCTGTGGAATCCCCATCTCTGGAGATATTTAAGAGTAGGTTAGATAAATGTCTATCAGGGATGGTCTAGACAGTATTTGGTCCTGCCATGAGGGCAGGGGACTGGACTCGATGACCTCTCGAGGTCCCTTCCAGTCCTAGTATGCTATGATTCTATGATTAATGTTCATTATATTTTCTAATTATTTATTTCTATTTTCGGTAAATTCGGTGTTTAATCTTTTTTTGGTCTTCAAATTTTAGTGATTTAAATTTTCACAATTAAGGAATCTTTTGAGGGCAGGTCAGACAATAATTATTTTAGGCCAATAGACGATGAGCTTTAAAAATTTAAATCTTTATGACTATTAAACACACAAATTGTCAATCACATGTCAAAATTAAAAAAGGAAATATTCTTACATCAAAGTTTAGTAAGTTCTCAAGCCATATTTTTCTTACTTTTCCAGTATGGAAATGTTGCATGTTATGGATGGAAATGGAAATTGATGTGTTGGTTCATGAAGAAACGGTTGTTTATTGATATTTATAGATAAAAATCACATCCTATCCATCCTATGGATTGGATAAATGGACTGTGAGGTGGGCAGAAATCTGGCTAGATTCTCAGGCCCAACAGGTAGTGATCAATGGCTCGATGTCAGGTTGGCAGTCGGTTTCTAGCGGAGTGCCCCAAGGTTTGGTTCTAGGACCGGTTTTGTTCAACATCTTTATTAATGACCTGGATGAGGGGATGGATTGCACCCTCAGCAAGTTTGCAGCTGACACTAAGCTAGGGGGAGAGGTAGATACGCTGGAGGGCAGAGAGAGGGTCCAGAGTGACTTAGACAAATGGGGGGATTGGGCCACAAGAAATCTGATGAGGTTCAACAAGGACAAGTGCAGAGTCCTGCCCTTGGGACAGAAGAATCCCAAACATTGGTACAGGCTGGGGACCGACTGGTTAAGTAGCAGTTCTGCAGAAAAGGACCTGGGGGTTACAGTGGATGAGAAGCTGGAGATGAGTCGACAGTGTGCCCTTGTAGCCAAGAAGGCTAATGGCATATTAGGGTTCATTAAGAGGAGCATTGCCAGCAGATCCGGAGATGTCATCATTCCCCTTTATTCGGCTTTGGTGAGGCCGCATCTGGAGTACTGTGTCCAGTTCTGGGCCCCCCACTACATAAAGGATGTGGACACATTGGAGAGGATCCAGTGGAGGGCAACCAAAATGATTAGGGGGCTGGAGCATATAACCAGGGCTGGCCCGAGCCCTTTTGGCGCCCTGGGCCCAGGCATGCGGCGCCGACCCCGGGTGCAGGGCGCATGCGCAGGCCCGCGCGTGGGGCGTGGGCCCACCCCCCTGGGTGCGCGGGCTCACCCCTGGGGCACACGGTGCATGCGTGCGCCGGCCAAGACCTCTGGTGCCCAGCCTGGGTCCCGCCCCCGGGGCGCATGGCACATGCGCTGCCCAGCCTGGCTCAGCCAGCGCTGCTGGTGCACATACTGGGCCCTGCATATAACCTACGAGGAGAGGCTGAGGGATTTGGGTTTGTTTAGTCTGCAGAAATGAAGAGTGAGGAGGGATTTGAGAGCAGCCTGCAACTCCCTGCAGGGGGGTTCCAAAGAGGCTGGGGAGAGGCTGTTCTCAGTGGTGACAGATGGCAGAACAAGGAGCAATGGGCTCACGTTGTGGTGGGAGAGGTCCAGGTTGGATATTAGGAAAAACTATTTCACTAGTTTTTTTATTTCACTACTTGGACAGTGGGCTGGACTTGATGACCTACTGAGGTCTCTTCCAGCTCTATGACTGTACAATTCTATGATTTGGACTTTCCTTTTTTCCCCATCACAGGCTCAGTCAAGGAAGATCAAAGGTTATTTACTTGTCATTCTCTAAAGCTTCTTTCCTGACACAGTGTAAAGAACAGCCAAGATTATAGTGTGTTTTAAGACACAGCCATAATACACTAGGGCTACGTCTAGACTGGCCACTTGACATCCCTAGAGGTGTTTAAGTCTCGGCTTGACCAAGCCCTGGCTGGGTTGATTTAGTTGGGATTGGTCCTGCCTAGAGCAGGGGGCTGGACTTGATGACCTTCTGAGGTCTCTTCCAGCTCTATGGTTCTAGGATTATATGGTTCTGTGATAGGGTTGTTTATGGAAAATTTGGTATCTATAGGTAATTGGGAAGGCTGACTTGATTTTGCACAAACAAATCCACAAACAAAGAAACTCTCCAAAACATATAGTAGGTGTGAATTTTCCAGCTCAAGTTTGCATGGCCATCTGAACTTTGAAAATCCCCAGACACCTGTCTCGAAAACCACAGAGACTCTATTTGACTCTGTGTGCTTTGAAAAGAACGGGTACTTCAGTGCTATTCTCCTTTCTATTTGACTCTGTGTGCTTTGAAAAGGACGGGTACTTCAGTGCTATTCTCCTTCAATAGAGCCAGTGAACTTCAATCTGATGGCTCACACTCCTTAGACAAGTGTTTCTTGCAGACTGAGGTAGGTTTAAGCATCTTTTTATCGTTTCAGTCCATACTCCATATTCTACCTGCATGAACCAAGGGCAAATTAAGAGTAATTTCTTCACGTTTCCTAAGTGTTCAATGTGAATCAGATGTTGTTTAGGGAATGATTCTCGAGTGGTGGAAATTGACACAGTGTGTGTGTGTGTGTATGTGTGTGTGTGAAGGGGCTGATACCAATTTCAGCCAGCTGAGATGTAGCTGCCTTTTCCTGAAAGGTTTCTTTCCCATTTTTCTAAGCAGCTTAAAATTGGTGGTGAGAATAAAGCTGAAGAATAATTGTGCAAGAAGTCAAACCCGGATCCTGGATAAAATTGTTTAAAGAGCCTAAGTGACTTGGTTTCAGCGGGAGAGGCGGGTTAATCTGTAACTGGAAAAACTTTAAAAAAACAACAAATAGTCTAGCAGCACCTTAAAGACTCACAAAACATGTCACTGGGATTGTGAACTTTTGTGGGCACAACCCACTTCTTCAGATGACTGGAGCATTAAAAGTCCAGATTCAAGAATAAATAAGGAAAGGGGGAGGAAGGGATGGAAGGGAGAAAAAAAAATAAAGACTCACAAAACATGTCACTGGGATTGTGAAAAGTGCATTAGAGTGTTCAAGTTACAAGAAGCTGATAAGAACAATTTGCACCTTGTCTCAGTACCCATCGTTGGGTTGGTTAAGTCCTTAGGATGTGCAAGGCAGTGTGCTAGCCAGCCAAGTCTTTAGTCATACCTGTGTGATAGGAATCAAACTTGTCACTGAAGTTCAGTTCCAACCCTTCCCTGTGTATTTGGTTTGCGGAATTGGCTCCAAACAACATGGGTTGCCTCTGTGCCACGTTCAGAAATGACTTGGTGAGCGAGAGGCGCACGTTTCCTTGTGAAATGGTGTTTCTGCACTAGTGCAGAACCTTTGCCACTGATTGAGTTGAACGTTTTCTGGAGGGGAAAAAAGCCATTTTGAACTATACTACATTTTTCTTATGAAAAAACACATTTGTTTTTACAGACCGTTTGGGGGCGGGGAAGGACAGTCAATTGTTTGATGACCCCCCTCATGGCGATTTTTTTCACATGGAGATTTTTCTTTCACACAAATTAAAATACATTTATTTTCAACAATAGAAAATCATAGAAAAAAGCAGCTCTAAATCAGAACCAGGTCCACGTGTTCTATCAGAACCAGTTTTTTATGTTCTGAACACATCCCGTTTTCTTCTAGTGCTGATCTCTCGTGGACTCTGTTGGTTTTTAATGATAAGTATCAGAGGGGTAGCCGTGTTAGTGTGAATCTGCGTAAACAACAAGAAGTCGTGTGGCACCTTAGAGACTAACAGATTTATTGGAACATTTATTTATCTGTTTGCCCAAAGTGTAAATTTTCCAACAATGTTGTGATTCCTTGTTAATTTCCCAACACAATGTATATTTTCAGCATAAGCACTCAAGAGGTTGCTCTATACTGAAACTTACTGAGGTAAACACGGGCCCTTCTTCCCAAACAGATTTTCAGCTCTAAAAGGGAATTTTGACTATTCATACCCATTAGGACCTCCTGAATAGAGGCTACACTGTATAATCTGCTACATGCTTTTTCTGGCAGTTATGTCTTAGAAACACTTGCAGTGAGGGTACATCTAGACTACAGGCTTTTGTCGACAGAAGTTTTGTCAACAGGTTGGGTATGTCTAGACTACAGGGTTTTGTTGACAAAACTGGACTTTTGTTGACAAAACTATACCTGCGTCTACACTGCTGCTGAGTTCTGTCGACATAACGTCGACAGAACTCAGCAGCAGTGTAGACGCAGGTATAGTTTTGTCAACAAAAGTCCAGTTTTGTCAACAAAACCCTGTAGTCTAGACATACCCAACCTGTTGACAAAACTTCTGTCGACAAAACCCTGTAGTCTAGACATACCCAACCTGTTGACAAAACTTCTGTCGACAAAACCCTGTAGTCTAGACATACCCAACCTGTTGACAAAACTTCTGTCGACAAAACCCTGTAGTCTAAACACACCCTGAATGTTAATACCATCACACAAATGTTAATGCCATCACACCCTGAATGTTAATATCATACAAAGAGTGAAGTTAACAGGAAATTAAAAACCCGAATTAAAACAATTGTATTCAGCTGAAGTGTGTGGGGGCCGGGTGTGAAGAGGGCAGGTCTACAAATCAGTCACTGAACGCTTGATGTTGTCTGCAGAATATTTGCTGATGATGATGAAGAGAGAGAAGATCAGACACAACTTCATTCTCAGGTCCCCGACTGAGAAAATGTAGGTAGACAAATGCTTTTTAATCTGTACACTTGTATAATGTCCAAGGGGCAAAAGGGGACCTTTTTATCAACACCTGTCAGAAATTTGTGCAAACGAGTCCAGAAACTGTGCTCAGTGTATCGGGGGTGGGGCTTTCAAATTGTTCCCTCGAGTAGCCTGTCATTTTTCAGAAAAGATGTGCGATTGGCATTGAAATATTTGATCGCAAAATGGCTTTGTTGATTACGAACAGTGATTTTTCAAAGAAAAAAAGTCACTCTAAAATGGAACGTTACTATTAATCTGAACGATAGCATTCTTGTAATAGTTGTGCTCATCCTTATATATCAAAGAGCATAGAACCATGAAACACTAGAACTGGAAGGGACCTCGAGAGGTCATCGAGTCCAGTCCCCTGCTCTCACGGCAGGACCCAGCACCATCTACATCATCCCGGACAGATGTCTGTCTAACCTGCTCTTAAATATCTCCAGAGATGGAGATTCTACAACCTCCCTGGGCAATTTATTCCAGTGTTTAACCACCCAGACAGGTAGGAAATTTTTCCTAGTGTCCAACCTAAACCTCCCTTGTTGCAGCTTAAGCCCATTGCTTCTAGTCCTGTCCTCCGAGGCCAAGGAGAATAATTTTTCTCCCTCCTCCTTCTGACACCCTTTTAGATACTTGCAAGCCACTTTCATGTCCCCTCTCAGTCTTCTCTTTTCCAAACTAAACAAGCCCAATTCTTTCAGTCTTCCTTCATTGTTTGTTTGTGAAAGGGCGTGTCTCATATTTGACCAACTTTTGTTTGTGAAAGTGTGAGTCTCATTTACTAACAGAAGTTGGTGCAATAAAAGTTATTACCTTGCTCATGTTGGCCTGGTCTATACTACATGGGGAGGTCAAAGTAAGATATGCAACTCCAGCTACATACTTCAGCTACATAAATTATGTAGCTGGAGTCTACGTCAATCCTCGTCCACACAGCGGGAGGTTGCCAGGAGCAAACACTCCCATTGGCTTCCCTTACTCCTCATGAGGAGTAGGAATACCTGCGGTGATGGGGGCGCCCTTTGAGTTCAATCTAGCAGGTCTCCAGTACACCCACTAAATCAAACTCTGGAAGATCGACTATGACAGCGCTGATCGTCTGTATAGTGTAGCTGTGCCCCTTGTGTCTCTCATTTCATTTGGATTTGTTTCTTAATATTCATATGACAAATTGTGAGAGAAAGTGTTTTTTCCCCCCCCAAATTCCTTACAATTTAAAATTTCCATGTCTTCATTAATAGAAAAAACGGGGTAAAGCAAAACAAATGAACAAACAATAGAGTGAGGGGCAAAGAGGAAAGAGATTGAAAATCCAAAACCAGAACAGCGACCGTTAAAATGTGATCACTGTGTTGAACAAGGGCTGGGGGACAGTGAAAGGACCCAGTGGCATGCAGAGCAGTGACTCTTTTGAGGAATAAACTCATCCTCTTTCCTTCCAGAACCCAACGATGGAACTTTGAGTAAAACCTAGTCATCCCACTCGTGGCAATCAGGGATTTCCTGAAGTGGGACTCCATGTTAATTGAGATTAAAAAAGAAAAGTGCCACACAAAGTGTGTTTCCTAATTTGGATTGAAAATAGATTTCCCATCCAAATATGAAAGGCCAAGGTAGGCCTAGAAAAAAGAGTCTGAATTTTGATTCTGTTCATTCAATTTTTCAGGTATATTTTAAGGACATGAAATGGACCAGCAGAACCTCACCACCACGGTGACTGAATTTATTTTCCTGGGCCTCACCCAGAATCATCAGCTGAAGTATTTTCTCTTCTTCTTTTTCTTCATCATCTACATGACCACCTGGCTGGGGAATTTCACCATCATCATCACCGTAATCGCTGACCACCGGCTCCACACCCCCATGTACTTCCTATTGGCCAACTTGGCTTTCATGGATGTCAGTGACTCATCAGTCAATGCTCCCAACTTGCTGTCGGGTCTCCTCTCTCTGCGTAAAACCGTCTCCTTTAACGAGTGCATCCTCCAGATGTTCTTCTTCCACTTTATCGGGGGAGCAATGGCATTCTTCCTTGTGGGGATGGCCATCGATCGGTACGTGGCCATCTACAAGCCATTGAGATACTTGATTATCATGAACCGGGACGTGTGTGTGGGGCTAGTGGCGATGGCATGGGTGGGTGGATTGGCTCACTCAGCTGTTCAGATGGGACTGCTCCTCCAGTTTCCGTTCTGTGGGCCAAATGTCCTGGACAATTTCTACTGTGACGTCCCCCAGGTGATCAAACTGGCCTGCGCGGACACCCACGTGGTTGAACTGCAGTTGGTTTTCAATGGCGGAGCGCTCCTCATAATACTGTTCATCAGTCTGTTAATTTCCTACACCATCATCTTAATCAAGATCAGGACACACGTCACGGAAGGGAAGCACAAGGCTCTGTCCACCTGTGGAACCCAGATTATCGTGGTGTGTATCCTATTTGTACCCAGCATCTTCATCTACGCTCGGCCCTTCAAAAAGTACACCCTGGACAAAGTGGCATCCGTCTTCTTCACGGTCATCCCCCAAATGCTGAACCCGATGATCTACACACTGAGAAATGCCGAGATGAAGAAGGCCATCAGGCGGCAGATGAGGAGAATCCAGTGCTCACGGCAGAAACGAAAGGCATAATTTATTTAGACATACTGTTTGTATTACAAATCGGACCTGAACATATCAGGGGCAATGAATTTACCATATGAAATGTGTATGCTCATGAATGAATGACAGTGACTGTGCCCCAAACTCCGCTGAAGTCTATGGCGCCAACTAGTTTGGCTCCACTGGAGTTACAGGAATTTAATTTAAGTTCTGGGGAGATGGAGAAAGCCGCCAAAGGGGAGATTGTTCTAAGATTTTATTTTGACAAAAAAGGAGGAACTGGTTGAGAATTTAAGATAAGAAGGCAGCTTAAGTAAAAGTAATCATAAAATGGTAACGTTCATGATTCTACGGAATGGCTCGGGAGAAGACAGCCCAAGAAAGATAAGGGATTTGAAAAAGGCAAATTTTAGTGAATTCAGGGAGTTGACAGGTAAGCTTGTATGAGATGCAAAACCTAAGGGGGAAAAACAGTATAAGACAGTTCATTATGAGATATTATGAAGGGAAGAAGACCATTGCGTAGGAAAGATAGGCAGTATGGCTTACCCAGCGGATCTTCAATGATCGGAAACTCAAAAAAGAGTCCCACAAAAACTGGAAACTTAAGTCAAATTGCAAAGGGTGAATAAAAGCAAATAACACAAGTTTGTAGAAACAACGCTAGAAAGACCAATGCACAATCTGATATTAAACTAGCTACCCCTGCTCTACACTAGGGGACAAGGTAGAATTAAGATATGCAACTTCAGCTACATTAATTGAAGTGTCTTAATTTGAATTTTGCCGCCATCTACCCTGCGGGAAGTTGAAGGGAGCACACTTTCCCTTTGACTTCCCTTACTCCTTGAAGAAGCAGGACTATTGACATAGACTGGAGCACCCCTCTCAGTTCGAATTAATGTGTCTTCACTAGACTTGCTAATTTGAACCCCAGAAGATTGACTGCAGTGGCTTCGATCTTCTCTGTAGAGTAGACATGGCCGTAGAGACATAAAGGGTAACAAGAAGATGCTCCTAACTACATTAGAAGCCAGAAGATGACCAAGGACAGGGTAGGTCCATTATTCAATAACAGAAAATGTAGAAATGACATTTTTGTTTGGTTTTTAGCAAAAATATTAGCAGTGATTGGACATCTAACATAATGAAATCCAGTGGAAATGTGGTAGGATCGGAGGCCAGATTTGGCCAAGAATAAGTCAAAATTACTTTGACATGTGAAATGTCTTCAAGTCAGTAAGACATGATATAACCTATCCTAAGAGCTGATTGAGGAGATATCTGAGCCCTTAGCGATAATCTTTGAAAACTCATGGAAGACAGGAGAGATTCCAGAAACTGGAAATTAGCGAATATAGTGCCACTTTACAAAAGGAGGAATAAGAACAATCTGGGAACTACAGGCCAATTAGCTAAACTTCAGTACCTTGAAAGACACTGGAGCAAATAATTAAGCAATCAATTTGCAAGGATGTATAATTTAATATGGTGATCAGTAACAGTCAGCATGGATATGTCAACAATAAATCATGCCAAACTACCGTGAGAGTTTGTTTGTTTGTTTACTTCATAGGGTAACAAGCCTTGTGGATGGGGGGAGGTGGTAGATGTAGTATATCTTGTTTTAGTTTCTTTATAAGAAGATCATGTAATATAGTATCAAAAACCTAAGGAAATACAACCACAACTCTGCTGCTATAAGGTGGTTGGAACATCCTTTCCAGAGAATAGTTATCACAGGCTCACAATCCAGCTGGAAGGGCAGAACAAGTGGGGTCTGGCAGGGACCCGTCCTGTGTGTGGTTCTTTTCAATATCTCATCATTTCTTTAGCCAATGGAATAGAGAACACATTTATAAAGTTTACAGATGACGCCAAGCTGGGAGGGGTCTCCAGTGCTTTGAATGATACAATTAACATTCAACATGATGTGGACAAAGTGGAGAAATAAGATGAAATTCAATAAGGAGAAATGCAAAGTGCTCCACTTAGGAAGGAACAATCAGTAGCACACATACAGAATGGGAAGTGACTGTCTAGGAAGGAGTCCTGCAGAACAGGGTCTAGGCATCATAGTGGACCACAAGCTGAATATGACTCAACACTGTAACTTTGTTGCAAAAAAAAAACAAACCCTATGTCATTCTGGGAGAATATGACTCAACACTGTAACTTTGTTGCAAAAAAAAAGCATACGTCATTCTGGGAGGCATTAACAGGAGTGTTGCGAGCAAGACACGAGAGGTCAAACAAACCCTATGTCATTCTGGGAGGCATTAACAGCAGTGTTGCGAGCAAGACATGAAATGTCATTCTGCTCTACTCTGCAGGGATTAGGCCTCCACCGGAGTATTGTGTCCAGTTCTGGGCACCACTTTTCAGGATAGATGTGAAGAAATTGGAGAACATCCATGGAGGAGCAATAAAAATGATTAAAGGGCTTGAAATATGACCTGTGAGGGAAGATTGAAAAAGAGAGGATTTGTTTAATCTCCAGAAGAGAAGATCAAAGGAGAGACATGGTGACAGCTTTCAAGTACATAAAAGCTTCTTAGAAAAAGGACAGAGAGAAACAATGTTCTTGTTAACTTCTGAGGACAGGACAAAGAAGCAATGAGCTTAAATAGCAGCAAGGGAGGTTTAGGTTGGACATTACGAAAAACTTCCTGCCAGTCAGGGTGGTGAAACACTGGAATAAATTGCCTAGGGGGGTTGTGGAATCTCCATCCCTGGAGATATTGAAGAGCAGGTTAGACAAAGACCATATCAGTGCTGGTCTAGAAGATAATAGTCCTGCCATGAGCGTAGGGGACAGGACTACAAGACCACTTAAGGTCCCGTCTAGCTTTATGATTCTATGACTCCCTGTCACCAAGGTGTGGCAAGTCCATGGGTCCTGCACCCCCCCATCCGGTCCAGCACCCCCATGGGTCCTGCACCCCCCATCTTTCAGCAGGGAGCACAGAAGGGTTATTAGTCCACAGGAACACACCGTGGCACAGACTTGTCAGCACAGAGAGCAAGAGCCGGCAGGACCGTTCCATCTTGGGGAGAGGGACAGGACCTCTCCCTGCCTTCCCAGCCAGCCTGGACTCACCCTCTCTCTGTTCCACATCCCAGCCCCGCCGCCAGGATCCTCCTCCAGCCTTTGTCCTGCTTCCCAATCAAAAAGAGTGTCCCCTGGTTGCATCCCTTCCTGGGGTCCGGTTGTGAAGGCCGTTGTGTGTGTGTGTGAATTCACATCCCATCTAGGTATTGCTGCAGTGTCCTGGGACATGGAGGCAGGTGGGGTTACTACAGGGTGGTAGAACTCATAGCAACGTAACAAGGGGAATAAACCCTCCAGGCCCCCACAATCTGATACCGGGAGGGCACAGACGGAAGGGGAGGGCATACGACAGCCTCATGTGTCTCCTCTGGCCTGCCGTACACCCCTGCCCTGCACCCAGCCTGGGCCCGCTAGGGGTTATCGGTGGGCAGTGGTGGGGAGGGACTTGGCTCTTCTCTTGTGGTGCCTCCTCTCCAGCATGTTTCCCACGTGCTTGGCCACTGGCCTGGCAAATGGACAACAACCTTGAGGGGTCAGAAGCCGTTAGTCCAGAGCCTTCTACTTTCTACCCAGGCCCGGGTACCAAGAGCATTATGGGGGGGCAAAGCCTGCAGGAGAAGGGGTCCCTCTCCCTCCCCTCCCCAGCAGACCAATTTGAGGGGAACACTTCACTCCACATGCCCCCCCTCCTTGCCTAGAGGCACCTTGAGTCACAGAAGTTCGTTATAAGATTATGAATTATTAGAAATTATAATGAGACCCCTATATTTGTGCCTGGGTGTATCCCCCAAATATGCCACAGGCAAAAGCAGGGCTGCTTCGACTGGGGATATCTCAGCATGCTCGGTTTCTCTTCCACTTAATAAACGTTTGGTGTCCGAACCCCCTCCCACTGCGAGTTTAAAACTCAGCCCCTGGGAATCTTCTGAGATACTCTTGAAAATCAGTCATGTCAGTGGGGTGAGGAGGCCCCAAGACGGCTTACGGTCAACTCCTGCTTAAGTACTTTCTGGAGAGGGGGGGAGGGAAGGTCTGATTGAGGTTTTCGGCTGGGCCTCTAGCAACTAAACCACAAGTCCTCCTGATTTTCAGAGGACTTCTGCAGCTGACATGGGGCCCTTTGAATATCCCATCCCTGTTGCTTCCAATTAGGTTTGCTGGAATATTCCACAAATATAAAGGCAATTGAGGTGCGCGTTCAGGTGAACCACATTTATTTAAAAAGTAGAATGACTTTTCACACATGCATTTCCCCCTTGTATTCATCCAGTTCGTCAAATTACACTGGTAAGATCTCACATACACTTCTGGACTACATTCGTAGATAAGTTCGAATTAAGATATGCAACTTCAGCTGCGTTAATTGAAGTATCTTAACTTGATTTTGGGCACCATCCAGACTGTGGGAAGTTGAAGGGAGAACACTCTCAGCTTTAATTAGCATGTCTTCACTAGACCCACTAAATCGAACCTGGATGATCGACTGTGACTTCTTTGATCTTTCTCTGTAGTGTAGACATGGCCCTAGAGATGTAAATAATGATGCAAGATATGTTCTGAATCTTGTAAAGTTTTGTTTTAACTTTCAGAAAATACCAATGTCTGTTCAACTCCTGCCTACACAACAGTAACATCTTCAGAAGGTAGCAGACATTATAACCCTCCAGATGCACAATCTGTCCTCTCACCTAGCAATTTTTAATTGGGAGTGTCTCCAATCTGACTGAGGCACATGAGCAAACAACTATTGGTTCATTGACAGTGAAATTGACTTCTCATGTTGCAGCCAACTCGGCTGACCATCAGGATGGGTCCTACCTATTTTCCAAAGCTGACTTGACAGGGTGGATTAAGGATATGATATGACTAGGTTGATGGGAAAAAATATGGAACATAAGTGGGCAGAGAAGGGGAAGGGTTTTGGTCAATGAATGGTCAAGGTTCTGAGGATGAATGAAAAGGGGATAGGTCTCTAGAGAGAGGAACCCAACTACCGGCTACCACCGAAAGGCAGCATAAGCAGTCCTATAGCCTTTGTTGAGTCAAATTCAGCCTTGGCATGGAAGGGGTGCATCTACCCAGCATCTTAAACTTGAAATTGCTACACAAATTGTGTAACTTACATTATTTCAACATTCAAAGTATTTCAAAATTTGATGCATCTACAGACCCAAATTTTGAAATAACATGTTGGGTTACAGGGATGCCCAAATAGTGTGTCCACTATGTCAAGAACTATCTTGAAATAGCAGGCGTGTTCAAAAGATGTGGGGTAGCTCCTTCAGGATACTTCAGGCATCCTGAAATAGCCCCGCTGTGTAGACTCACTCCTAAGGCCCTGTCTACACACTGAGAATCTGGGACCTGAATGTGCTAGTTATTTTAGATCAGGACAGCGATGAGTGAGTGTGTGTTTACGAGTGAGAGAGCGAGAGAGCAACATTGACATGGACCAGCATGGAGACCACATCCAATGCCAGTGTGCAGCTCATCAACGGGGATTAGATAATGGGGGCTGAATTTTTCATAGATTCACAGGTTCCAAGTCCACCAGCACCTCCAGTATAACCCAGCCCATAAAACTTCCCCAAAATTCTTCTTACAGCAAATCCTTTAGAAAAAAAATCCATATTTCATTTAAAAATGGCCAGTGATAGGGAATCCACCACGAACTTACATAAGAACAGAGGAGCAATGGACAGAACAAGAAGCAATGGTCTCAAGTTGTAGTGGGGGAGGTCTGGGTTGGACATTAGGAGAAACTATTTCCCTAGGCGGGTGGGGAAGCGCTGGGATGGATTCCCTAGGGAGGAGGTGGAATCTCCATCCCTAGAGGTGTTTAAGTCAAGGCTGAGTCCTAAGGTGTATAAGGTTAGGAGAATCTTATCCTCATTTTATGGATGGATGAAGCCAAGAGTCAAAATGGGACCGTTTGCTTCTAAACGACATTGTCCTGGCGATAAATAAGATGGGCCAAGAGAAACAAAGCAAACAAGTAGGCACGGGAGAAAGTCAGACAATTAGTTCTTGGTGAGAAACGTCCGCCCAGCTTGTCTCTTCAGGGCCGCTTTCATCTCTGTATTCCTCATGCTGTAGATGATCGGATTCAGCACTGGAGGCAACGTGGAATAAAGCACGGCCACCACGAGATTGAGACCCGACGTAGCATTAGAGGTAGGTTTCAGATAGGCAAAGATACACGTGCAAGCGAACAAGGAGACCACCATGAGGTGGGGGAGGCAGGTGGAGAAGGCTTTGTGCCAACCCTGCTCTGAGGGGATTCCCAGCACCACTTTGAAGATCTGCACGTAGGACCCAATGATAAAAACGAAGCAAATTATGCCTAAGCAGGCACTAAGGATGAGAACATGAGCTTCACGGAGATACGCCTCTGAGCAGGTGAGCTTGAGAAGCTGGGGGATCTCACAGAAGAACTGATCCACCGTGTTGCCTCTACAGAAAGTCAACGTGAAGATGTTCCCGGTGTGCAGAGCCGAATTGAGGCTACCTCCGAACCAGGCCCCGGTGGCCATTTGGACGCAAGCTCTCCGGCTCATCACTCGCTCATAGTGTAGCGGTCGGCAGATGGCCACGTATCGGTCGTAGGCCATGATGGTGAGAAGGAAAAAAATGGCTCCAATGAAGAAGATGAGAAAAAAAACCTGGGCGACACATCCAGCGAAGGAAATTGACCTAGTTTGCATTAGGGAGTTGGCCATGGATTTGGGGAGGGTGACAGAGATGGAGCCGAGGTCTAGGGTGGACAGGTTGGCCAGGAAGAAGTACATGGGCTTGTGAAGACAGTGGTCGCAAGCTACAGCTGTGATGATGAGGAGATTCTCCATCAGGGCCACCAGGTAAATCACTGAGAACAGGGTGAAGCATAAAATCTGCACCTCAGGCACGTCAGCCAATCCCAGGAGAAGGAACTCAGTCACGCTGGTTTGGTTGGACATTTCCTTTCTCCTTCCAGTGGCAGCTGCCTGCAGAGGGAAGGAGAAGGGGAAATGGTCAGGATTCGGCAAGTGACATCTCCCTCCTTTTGCGTAACCCACCTTAACTTCCTCGATGTAAGTTCAGTGCCATGTCTTGGGAAGACGGATGTAGAGTGGGGCCTGCCTGACTCCTCGGGCATTCCTCCATGTTGACAGTCACCCGGAGACTAGAGAGGCAGCATATCCCGTTGGCTCCCAAGAAATTGTTCCTGGTTTTACACGAGGTGGAGTGTCGCATCCCCCGGCCCTTCCACTGACCTCGGTTTACACCAAGGGGAAGGAGATTCTACTCAATGGCTCAGGAGGCCCTGGAATAACTTTGTCACCCTGACCTAAGGGGTATAAGATTAGGGGAATCTTCTCCTCATTCTACAGGAGGCAGATTGCAGACGGGAGAGTCAACGCTCATCCGTCAGCTCCATAAACAGAGTGAGAGAACCCAGAGGAACCCACTACTCTAAGCAACAAACCGTTTCTCCTTTCCCAGAGCTGGGCCAAGGACCCAGGAGTCCTGGCACTTGGGGGAGAACTGGTGTAGGCTCAAGAACCAGTGAAGATCATAAAACCCTAGAACACTAGAACTGGAAAGAATGTCAAGAGGACCAAGCACCATGTAGACCGTCCCTGACAGGTCTGTCCAACCTGCTCTTAAACATCTACAGGGAGGCAGATTCCAGACCCGCCCCCCTCCACTGACAATTTATTCCAGTGTTTAACCACCCTGACAGGCAGGAAGTTTTTTCCTAATGTCCAATCTAAACCTCCCTTGCTGCAGTTTAAGCCCATTGCTTCTCGTCCTGTCCTCAGAGGCCAAGGAGAACAATTTTTCTCCCTCCTCGTGTGGAAGAAAACATTGTCCTCAATCTGAGTTTCTAAGCAATAAGTAGCCAGAGGCAGTTTTATTACGAGTTGCAGCAAGGGAAAAATTGGTTCAGACGGGGGGAGACAGAGGCAGTTTTATTATGAGCTGCAGCAAGGGAAAAACTGGTTCAGACGGGGGGGAGCCCCCCCTCTCCAAGGCAGGTCTTCGAATACAAGCAATTATGAAGCAGTTTATATACCGTCTATTAGATATAATAACAATAACAATTAGTCTCCTTCCCATTACAAACACCAATGGCTAACAGTTATTTGGTTCCACTCAGATTCTCCTTATCTCAAGGTCCCTGCCACAGTCAGCATTCTATCCTTATCTCCGTATAGAGGCGAGAGGCAAAGGAAGCGTCTAATTACAGATCTCGCCTTGTCAGGCCACAGACTTAGCCTGACTCTTGCTCTCTCGTTAACAAGACCAAGATGGCTGCCCACAAATTCCCTTATTTCCTTTTCCTGCCTCCACACCTTGTAACACCCTTTTAGATACCTGAGAACTGCTCTCATGTCCCCTCTCCGTCTTCTCCTTTCCCAATTCTTTCAGCCTTCCCTCTTAGCTCCTGTTCTCTAGACCTTCCTTCGTTTTTGTTGCTCTTCTCTGAACCTTCTCCAATTTCTCCATCTCTTTTTTTTTGAAATGTGGTGCCCAGAAATGGACACAAGACTCCAACTGGGGCCTCACCCGTGCAGAGTAGAGCGGAAGAATGACGCTCACAAAGCCTCCGCAGCGCTCTGCTCTCTTTATTTCGCTGTCATCGGCCCCAACCCCAGCAAGAGGTGTTAATCCTGACTGGCCATTGGCCCAAAGCAATCCGTCCTGCTGTTTCTCCCGCCATCACTGCCCCCTCTCATCTCCCGCCCCGGGTCTGTCTGTCTCATGGAACATAGGAAAGGGAACCTCCATTCACAGGAGCATTGCTCAGAGTCCAGCAGCGAGATGAGCTCTTCCTTCCCTGCGAAGAATGACCGGGGGAAGAAGAGATGTTCGGGTCCTGTCTCTGCAACCCACACAGCTAGTGTGGGGCTCTGACGAGCCTAGGAACAAGAGACCTCGACAGCCCAGGCTCGGAGGCAGCTGGTCTTAGAGCACGAGCTGTAGCAGCACCTGGACTAAGCTCCTGAAGATCCCAGGTTCCCATCCAGCTGGTGGCAGTTACATCTTCACATCTCCTTGGTCTGCTCTAGTTGGGTACACACTCTGTAGAGCAGTGGTCCCACCCTTTTTGGGGCCATGCATGCGCTGGGCTCCCGGAGGCAGCACCACACATGTGCCACACGGCCAGGGGCGAGGGCTGTGCAGGCACACATCAATGCCCCGGTGGACGCCATGGCACCCACAGGCACCGCATTGGGGACCACAGCTGTAGAGCACAAGTGTGTGGCATCTTAGCTGGCCCATGCGCATGCACTTCAAGTCCTGTGCAAGGCACTTCAAGTTCCCCTTTATTCAGCTCTGGGGAGGCCACATCTGGAATATTGTGTCCAGTTCTGGGCCCCCCACTATGGAAAGGATGTAGACGCATTGGAGAGGGTCCAATGGTGGGCAACCAAAATCATTCGGGGGCTGGAGCACAGGACCTACGAGGAGAGGCTGAGGGATTTGGGTTTGTTCAGCCTGCAGAAGAGAAGAGTGAGGGGGGATTTGAGAGCAGCCTTCAACTCCCTCAAGGGGGGATCTAAAGAGGATGGAGAGAGGCTTTTCACAGTGGGGGCAGATGGCAGAACAAGGAGCAACGGTCTCAAGTTGCAGTGGGGGAGATTAGGAAAAACTATTTCCCTAGGCGGGTGGGGAAGCACTGGTATGGGTTTTCTAGGGAGGGGGTGGAATCTCCATCCCTAGAGGTGTTTAAGTCTTGGCTTGATCAAGCCCTGGCTGGGATGATTTTGTTGGGGTTGGTCCTGCCTTGGGCAGGGGGCTGGACTCCTGAGGTTTCTGCCAGCCCTGGGGTTCTCGGATTCTACTGTCTGAAAGGGCACATCCGTGGGCTAGGGGTGTGTGAGTGTGCAACAGGTTCACACCTATTGGAATACATCACCCCCCAACCGAGCTGTCAACTCTGGCACCTTGTAGACAAGGTCTAGCCGGTTCTTTGTCTCTAAAAAGGGGGCTTAGAGGAATTTTAATTCAAAAAAGAGCTGGATAGATTCATGGAGGTTGGGTCATCCATGGTTATTAACAAGGCTGGGTAGGAAAGATGTCCCAAGCCTCTGTTTGTCTGGAGGTGCGGGACAGGGGAGGGATCACGTGAGGATTACCGTTCTTATGTTCGAACTTAAGTTTGGTCTGTGGCTACACTCCATTTCCATAGTAAGAACAAATATAAACATAGAGGCTACGTCTACATTGGCAAGATTTTGCGCAAATACTTTTAACGCAAGAGTTTTTGTGTTAAAGTATTTGCACAAGAGAGCATCTACACTGGCGTGTGCTTTTGCACAAAAGCATCCGTGCCCGTGTAGACGCTCTCCTGCGCAAGAAAGCTCTGATGGCCATTTTAGCCATCGGGCATTCTTGCTCAAGAAATTCATGTTGCCTGTCTACACTGGACTCTTGCACAAGAACAGTTGCTCAAGAGGGCTTATTCCTGAGCGGGAGCGTCATCGTTCTTGCGCAAGAAGCCCTGATTTCACACATTAGAACGTCCATGTTCTTGCGCAAGAACTCCCCGCCAGTGTAGACAGGCAGCATGTTTTTGCGCAAAAGCGTGTACTTTTGTGCAAAATCATGCCAATGTAGACACAGCCTAGAAAGGCATGTAAAAACAAAAAATAAGATGTATCGATGGATAGACAGGGTCTGCACTGTGCACTGCCATTGAGCTAAGCAGAGAGAAAGTTGAATGCTTTATTTGTTTTTAACTCTGTCCTGTTAGACAGAAAGACAGACATCCAAATACACAGCGAGAGAGACTGAGAGGCAAAGAGAGACAGTGACAGAGAGAGAGAGACAGAAGCTGTGGCTACACTGCAAAGAAAAAGAGAGAGACAGAAGCTGTGTCTACACTGCAAAGAAAAGTCGGAAAAAGATATGCAGATTGTGAGCCGCAATTTGCGTATCTTTTTCTGCTTTTCTTCTGAAGAGGCTTTCCTGACATTTGGACCATCTACATGGGGCCAAATGTCAGAAAAAAACCCTTTCAGAACATCCGGGGGGCCAAATGTCAGAAAAAAACCCTTTCGGAACATCCGGCCTTCCTCATAGAACGAGGTTTACAGGGATGCCGAAAAAACGCATCCGCTTTGCTGACATAGTTTTTGGAAAGTGGACAAATTCCTTGGATGTGGCAGAGCTTCTCCAGGATACCTCTGGTATCCCCAAAATGCTCTGTAGTCTAGACATACCCTCTAGAGAGAGACAGAGGCAGAGAGGCAGAGAGAGAGAGAGAGAGAGAGACAGAAAGACATAGACAAAGACTATGTCTAGATTACAGAGCTTTTTCTAGGAAACCAGAGGTATCCCGGAAAAACTCCATCCTGTCCAGAGAACACGTCTGCTCTTCTGTCATTTTTTGTGGAAGATTAGATGGGCTCTTTCAGAAACCCTGTCTTCCTTGTTTCCTGAGGAAGAAGGGCTCTTCTGAAAGAGAAGTTTTTTCCGAACTTTGGCCCAGTCTAGACGGACCAAATTTCGGAAAAGCCTCTTCCGAAAAAACAATCAGAACAACAAATTGCAGAGCGCAATTTGCGTACCTTTTTCCAAAAAAAGCGGCAGTCTAGACATAGCCAGGCGCAATTTGCGTACCTTTTTCCGAAAAAAGCGGCGGTCTAGACATAGCCAGACACAGACAGACAGACAGAGACAGAGACAGAAACAGAGAGACAGACAGACACGGAAAGTGAGAGAGAGAGACAGAGAGTTGTTTCTGAAGGTAACCCCTATTTTTGCTTCCTTTAGATTGCTCTCTCTTAACTAATTTGTGACTGAAAGTCAAACCCCATATTGTCCATTAAGAATTGTTTTTCCTTAAAAAGCACCTCGTTAACCCCCCCTCAGTTCATTGCCATAGCACACTTACCGCAGTATTTTGTGTAGACACCTCACCGCCCTTCTCCTCCAACTCTTCTCCTCACCCACGACCTCTCCTCCA